AATGGCGGCGCGCGACGGGGCGGCCGTTGCCAAGGGCGGGGCGCGGTTGCCGGGGAGCGGGGGATGCCGAGGGGGGCGTGGCCTGGTTGCTAAGAGGCGTGGCTCTGTTGCTATGGGCGTGGCCTCGTTGCCGCGCTGCGTTGCTGGGGCCAACCGGGGGGGCGTGGCCTGTTGCCAGGGTGATGGTTGCTAAGGGGCGGGTCTAACCCCGCGCAGCATGTGTTGATTGGCTGTTGCCGGGGGCGGGGCCTGTTGCCGGGGTGATGGTTGCGAAGGGGCGTGGCCTCACCGCGCGGAGCGGGCGGCGATTGGCTGCGGCGCCGGGGGCGGGGCCTGTTGCCATGGCGGCGCGGCGCGGCGGGCGGCGCGGGGCAGTGTGGGCCGGCGGCGGGGCGCGCCCGGCGGGATGGAGCAGTACCTGGTGCTGGGCCGCATCGGCGAGGGCGCGCACGGCGTCGTGTTCCGGGCCAAGCACCGGCAGGTGCGGCGGGCACCGGGGGGCGGCAGCGGCGCCGCGGGGCCTGGCTGACCCGCCGCCTGTCCCCCGCCAGACCGGCGAGCTGGTGGCGCTCAAGAAGGTGCCGCTGCGGCGGCCCGAGGAGGGGCTGCCCCTGCAGACGCTGCGGGAGATCAAAGCGCTGCGGGAGATGGAGGCGCACCCGCACGTGAGTGAGCGCGAGGCAGGCCCAGTGCTCCCAGTTTGGCTCCCAGTTTGGCTCCCAGTGCTCCCAGTCCCTCCCAGTCCTCCCCAGTGCTCCCAGTCCCTCCCAGTTTGGCTCCCAGTCCCCTCCCAGTGCCCTCCCAGTGCTCTCCCAGTGCTCCCAGTGCCCTCCCAGTCCCTTCCAGTCCCCTCCCAGTGCTCCCAGTTCCTCCCAGTGCTCCCAGTGCCCCCAGTGCTCCCAGTCCCTCCCAGTGCTCCCAGTTCGCTCCCACTGCTCCCAGTCCCTCCCAGTGCTCCCAGTGCTCCCAGTCCTCTCCCAGTCCCCTCCCAGTCCTCTCCCAGTCCCCCCAAATCCCCAGTGCTGTCCCCGCCCTCCTGCCCCCCCAATTTCAGGGTCCCCCCCTTCTGCGGGTTCTTCTCCACCCCTGTTCCTGCCCCATGTCCCCGTGTCCCCCCAGCTCCGGTGTCCCCTTGACCCCCCGGTGTCCCCTCCCCCACCGGAGCCGGCTCCCGGTGTCACCGTCCCCGTTGTCCCCTCCCTGTCCCCTCTGTCCCCGCTGTGTCCCCTTGCTGTCCCCGCAGGTGATCTGGTTCTGTCCCCTCTGTCCCCTCTCTGTCCCTGCTCTGTCCCCTCCCTGTCCCCTCTGTCCCCGCTC